TTATTTAAAATGTTGAATGTTAAGACATTTACATTGATAAACTCTACCTGATATTTAATAATTTGTTTTTAAAAGTGTATGTTAAATATTTTGTAATACAGTAAAAATTAACAATTGAATTAGGGGCCGTTTACTAAAGCTTACCCGGTAAGTACTTATCAAGTAATTTTCCTCATTGGATGAACATGACAATGACCAAGAATCTTACCCGGTAAGAACGATGATAAGGATGAAGAGTTTTACCTGGTAAGTGAGGGTGACGACTCTTACCCGGTAAGTGAGAGTGACCACTCTTACCCGAGTAAGCGCTTACCAAGTAAATTGTTGCATATGATACATTTTGATGTACTATAATCTTACCAAATAAAATAAATTATAGTGTTGACTCTTAATGTTAAGCACTTATCGGGTAAGCATTTAGATAAAAGACCCTTAGTCAAATATATTTAATCACTAAATAAATAAAGTTGGAATAAAATCATGTCAATGCAAATACCAAATACATAAGAGAAAAGTATAAGAAAATTCAATAGATTTTAGTGTTTGGAGTGATTAAATATTTGAATAATTTTTTGTAAAAAATAAGTCTTTAGACATTTTAAAATATTTTACATAAATTCTTAGACTTATTAAAATATTTTAAATAAATTCTTATCTATACTGTATATAAAGCATTTGACAAAAATTCTTAAAACCATTTTTTATGCATAAAGTACTGTTTATTAATACATATTACTTAAAACTCAATATTGCAAGTAGATTGTGCGTAGGTATAACTTATTAAAGTTCCATATCTGAATTCGTGTAACTAACTGCATATAAACATAATCAAATACAAGATAAACACCTCATTATAAAATTAAAAAATATAAATATAATTAGGATAATCATTGAATTCTAACAGAATACTTAATTATTATCTTTATAAAATGTTATATTATTAAAGCAAAAATAAGTTATTTCGTTATTAAACTTAAATTAAATTATAATAAAAAAATTAAAGAAATTACAAAAAAAATGAAAACTTTTAAATAGTTGATTTAATATTGACATTGATATATTTAATTTAAATTTTTATGATATTTTTAAATTTATATTTTATTTAAAAATAAAATCATTATTGCTTTCTTGAAAGCACATAAAATCGTATTATAATATCGACAGAGACAAATAATAAAATAGAACATTAAAATCGAGATGTGTCTCGTTGCATTGCGCGAGTACTATTCTAATTAGTTAAAAATGTAACCCACAACCTATATAACAGGTAGAAACTACAAATTAAAAAAAAAACCCATTAAATATATTATTTACTGTGAAACTAATTTGTGGATAATATGCAATTTTTATGGAGGTAAGAGGATAAGTCTTTCAACAAAATATATTATTTTTTTATCTTTTATCTTTCAAATGGATTTCATTTTATCTATTATTTATATTTAAATATATAATTTATAGATAAGGATAATAAAAGATTTCAGCGTGTCAGATGCAATATAATTATGAATTTGAAATTTAAATAAATCAGTATTAGCATCACTAAGATATTCTAAAATTTGCTTTTCCAAAAATGTTAAGCTAAATATTTATCTATATCTATATCTATACTATATTATAAAGCATTTGGCTAAAACTCTTAAAAACTCTTAAACTCTTAAACTCTTAAAACTCTTAAA